ATTACCCCCCTAACATCCCAGGCTCTTCACCAAGGTTCATCATACTCATATGAATACCTCTGATGATATTGCTAAATAAGACTTATACCACCACCACCCAGTGAGTGGAGTAAAACAAACAATGCTCAACTATATTATATTGTATTGCAATATTGTATGAATGAACCGTATATCATTTCCTTGTTTGTCCCTGAAAAAAAAATCAATAAAAATATTGAATTATATATATAAAAAAAAAAAAAACCACGTCTAAACGCAGCCCAGATCCACCTCTTCTTGGGTCCCCCGCAGGCTCTCCTGGCCTCTTCCTCCTGTCGGGTGCCCCCACAGCAAGCAGCTTGCTATGGGGGCACCCGCTACTCAGTGTTTCCATTCACACACGGAGCTATGGCTCGGCCCCCCCCCCTCTCTTCTGGCTCACTGGCAGTGGGAGCCATTGTAGCCAGCCAATGAGGAGAGAGAGCCCCAGAAGAGCCAAGACTCCAGTGCACATCGCTGAATCAAGAGGGGCTTGGGTGAGTATTGGGAGGGCTGGGGGGGATGCTGCCCAGAGAAGGTGTTGTACCTTCATGCAAGAATGTATTAAGGTAAAAAAACCTTCAGCCTTTACAACCACTTTAACTAGAAAAGCTACAATTTCTGGGGAAATTGTGTGAAGTGTTCTTGCCTCCACCAGTAGTCTACAACTGGAGTGGGCGGAGTAACTGGGTGGAGTGGCTTGAGTAACTGTTTTGTGGTTGGAGTGGCTTGTCACTCTGCTGCCTGCTCACACACCTGGGTTCCTATGGCAACTCACTCTACAGCGAGGGCAGAGAAGAGCGGTTAAAAACAAACTGCTCCAACTTGCTCACTTCACTGGCAGTTGCCATCTTCAAACGGTTGTAGTTTAAAAATTGTAAACCCTACACCAAAGAGCTTTATATTGTGAGAATCACAAGACCCAGACCTACATTTCGATGCATAGTATGTCTCTGAAATATTAAAAATGAAGGCACAGTCGCAGTTTAGAAAATTGCCCTTCACATTTGAGGTGGCTAGAGTGGAGTTTCAATGGGCGGCGTGAGTTGCATACAAATGGTCATATTGTGAAAACTATCAGGACTATGGCTTAGCCGTGGACATTTTTAGTGGCAGCAGGGATAGCTGAACGTTTTGATATAAGATTTGTGTAGGTGGGCTTGAAAATGAGGGAGTGGTGGCAGTTTAGAAATCATGTCCTGATTTTTCAGCTCACACTCTAGCTTTTGTCAGCACCCACTCTAGTTTTGAACATTCCACCATTCATTCCTATGGGATCAATTTCACCACAAAAACAGCGATATTTCGTGAACCATTCGGCGAAACGTTCCACAAAGTAATAGCACACCAATCGGGAACAATCCACACATTTCGGTATATTACTGTCTATGTAGTGTAAAAACTGTGGGAGGAGTTAGGGGGTAAATTTGGCTATAATAATAAGAATATATATGTGAGATAACAGGAAGTGGTCGCCATGCAAGAACACTTAATTATATATCTCTGTCAGTTGATGCAGCGCTGTACATATGTTTTGTACATTTACATCAGTTGCCGCCCTCAAGGGGCGTACAATATAAAGTTCCTAGCTCACATTCATACATACACCTACTAGGGCCAGTTTACCCAGCAGCATGTCTTTGGAGTGTGGAAGGAAACCCACGCAGGCACAGGGCAAACATGCAAACTCCAGGCAGGTAGTGCAGTGTTTGGGATTTGAACCAACGACCCGAGTACTGCCAGGTAGAAGTGCTAACCACTTAGCTACTGTGATGACCACATAGACATTTCCAGTCTACCTGTCACTTGTGTTGCTCTTACTGAGCAGGAAGTGTCCCCTGCTAACAATGCCTAGTGTTTTTGAGTATGCCATACCCCATTGTCCTCCCCCATTTTCAAGTTCTACCAGCAAATACACTTCAAAAAGACAACCCCTAGACTGTTCAATGAGCCGGAGAGTGAATGGACTGCTGCTTTGTGCCTGGCTGCCTCTGCACTGTGTTGGGAAAGAACCTTGTAAATGACAGAGGCCCCCGCAGGGGTAGTGCTGCACAACGGAACATTCATTTGAACACTGACTGATTCATAGGAAATGCGTTACCTTTTCAAGTGACATTTTTCAGTTCAAGAAGTTTTTATTAATTATATTATGATTGTCTAATAATGGAATGTTAATTATGATGTGCATTTAGGTGTACCTTATGATGGACTAATTCTGCTGTACAGGACTTCACAAAGAGCAAAAAGATGGAGAAGAGCCGGAGAGGAGCTGCCAGTTCTGGTAAATAGACATCAGTTGCTGCTTATTTTTTTATTCACTTATATCTTTGGGGACCAACCTCTGGCCAGGGGGGCTGCAAGTGACCCTTCGACATCCATTGTGCAGTTTTTGGGGCCCCGCAGACAAAAATCTGTTTTCTTTGCCTTGGTCCGTACTGGATTCTAATAATTTAACCTCCCTGGTGGTATTCCCGAGTGTAGCTCGGGGTAAAGTTTCTGTGCCAAAAGCGGTAACCCCGAGCTACACTCGGACTTACCATGCGGCGCTGCATAGGGAGTCCCTGCAGAGCTTACCTTGTCCTTCGCTCCCGCGATGTGTCCCCTGCAGCGTCCCCGGCCATCTCCTCCGGCTGATACCGGCATCTGGCTTCTGTGTTCCGATCCCTGTGACGTCGGGATGTACGGGCGGCGGCGGCGGGAAATTTGAAAATGTAAAAAAAATTTCATTTTTTTCAAAACGAATTTTACATAGTATAACATTCCTGTATCAAACCATTTCACATACATTTTGTCCCGAGTGCTTTGTCCAGCGCCCTGCCTGCATTTTTACTGTTCTTTCTGCCTGGAAACTGAGAAACGTCCATGGCGTCCAAAAAGCGTCCCTTTAGGTCAAAAGCGGTTTAGACCGGCTAGAGAACAGCGATAGTAAATCAGAACCACTTGCAGAATTGAGTGATAATGATTGGTGGGGGAAATTCATCATCAGACACTGAAAACAAATTTGCGACTTTGCTCAGCGATGTGCGAACTTGGCGCTCTATTTCACACATTTCAGTGTTTTTAGTTTGATTATATTATTGAATTACATTTATTATTATTATATTATTATTTTTTATGATTATTTATTAAATTATAATTTATGATTTTGTGTTTCAAATTTTATCATCCCCGGGATGTTTACTAGACTCTTGTTCGGACAGATTTCAGTGAGTTATTCCTAAATATTACAGCCTACAATAAAAAAAATACATATTTCCATGCAAAATAATGGTATCGCTTTCAGCACAAAAAAAAATCTGAAATAATCATACCGCTAGGGAGGTTAATATTTCCCACTGTCTTATTTTTTTTTCCCATCCATTCCCTTCTCTTTTTCTGTTTTATTTCCCACTTTAATAATGGATCTTGCTGAAATAAATTCTCAAATGTGGCACATGTTATATTTTAAAAAAGGGGGGGGGGGCAAATGTGGGATCATTGATTTATAAAGAAACTGATTTGTAAAGAAAGTGATCTCTAGCAGTTCCCAGTCTTTAATAACTCTTACAGCATGTTTGCAGTCTCTGACCGTCTCCTGTAGCACGTTGGTCTTTCACTGTCTCCTACTGCATGCCTGCAGTCTCTGACAGCACTCTGTAGCATTATGTTCACTAAATATAATGGGTTGTCCCTTGGTGATGTCAGAGGCCTCCTTTAACCACTTCCCTACCACGCTATAGCCGAATGATGGCTAAAGGCCAGTCGTCCAGTTCTGGGAGGGCGTCATATGATCTCTCAGAATGCGCCGGCAGCGGCGCGCACCAGGCGCAGTCTGTGATTGCTGTGTCCTTTTGAACACAGCTGATCACATGACATGGTAAAAAGGCCAATCACAGTGGCCTTGTACCACGTGATCAGCTGTGTCCAATCACAGCTGACCACCTTGTAAATACACTTGCCGGTTATCAGCAGTACTATCCTCACACTCAAAGCGTGAGGAAAGTACTGCCGATAACCGCCAACTGTTAAAGGACACATCTGTACTGATAATGAGGGCACTGTTTATCAGTGCCCTCATAATCAGTGCAGCCCCAAAAGTGCCCAGCAGTGCTTCCGATCAGTGCTGTTCAGCAGTGCTGCCCATCAGCCCCCAACAGTGCTGTCCGTCAGTTCTCAACAGTTCTGCCCAGCAATGCTGCCAATCTGTGCCCATCAGTGCTGCCTATCAGTGCTGTTCAGCAGTGCTGCCCATCAGCCCCCAACAGTGCTGCCCATCAGTTCTCAACAGTTCTGCCCAGCAGTGCTCCCAATCTGTACACGTCAGTGCTGACAGTCTGTGCCGCAGTCAGTGCCCATCAGTGCCGCTTATTAATACCTATCATTGCCGCCTATCAGTTCAGCACCATCCGTACCTCCTCATCAGTGCCCACCAGTACTGCCACATCAGTGCAGCCTATCAGTGGCTGTCTCATCAGTGCATCAGTGCTGCCTATCAATGCAGCCTCATCAATGCACATCAGTGAAGGAGAAAAATTACCTGTTTTTAAAATGTAATAATAGAAACAAAGAAAACCTTATTTTTCTAAATTTTCACTCTTTTTTTTTGTTTACAGTGCAAACAATAAAACCCCTCCCTGTGGTGATTAACCACTTGCCTACCGGGCACTTATACCCCCTTCTTTACCAGGCCAATTTTCAGCTTTCAGCGCTGTCGCACTTTGACAATTGCGCCGTTATGCAAGATTGTACCCATATGAAATTTTTATCATTTTTTTTCTCACAAATAGAGCTTTCTTTTGGTGGTATTTTCTCGCCATTTGCAAAAAATTTGCATAAAATTTGAAAAAAAAAAAGTTTCTTTGTTTCTATTATAAAATTTTGCAAACAGGTAATTTTTCTCCTTCACTGATGTGCGTTGATGAGGCAGCACTGATGGGCACTTATAGGCAGGCACTGATAGGCGGCACTGATAGGCAGCACTAATGAGGTGGCACGGATAGGCAGCACTGATAGGCGGCACTGCTGATGGGTACTGATAGACAACACTGATAGGTGGCACTGACTAGGTATTGACTGGCGGCACTGGGGCACTGACTGGCGGCACTGCTGGTATTGACTGGCGGCACTGCTGGGCACTGACTGGCGCAACTGCTGGGCACTGACTGGCACAACCGCTGGGCACTGACTGGTAGCACTGACTGGCAGCACTGCTGGGCTGCACTAATGGGCACTGGTGGGTGGCACTGGTGGGCACAGGTGGGTGGCACTGCTGGGTGGCACTGGTGGGCACAGGTGTGTGGCACTGGTAGGCACTGCTGGGCACAGGTGGGTGCACTGCTGGGCACAAGTGGGCAGAGCTGGTGGGTGGCACTTCTGGGCACTGATCATCAGGGCACTGATTATCAGTGCCCTGATGATTGGTGCCGATCCCTGCTCTGACAACTGCCTGTTCTTGGCAGTACTTTCCTCACGATCTGACATTGGATTGCATTTCCCTGTGATCAGCGTGTCATTGGACACGGCTGATCACGTGGTAAAAGGCCGCTGTGATTGGCCTTTTACCACATCACGTGATCAGCTGTGTCCGTAGGACACAACGATCACGGAGATCGCCAGGTGCGCGCGCCCTGAGCGGGTTCTGGGAGGACGTTATATGACGCCCACCCAGAACTGGCCAGCCGCAGCGTAGCCATCATTCGGCTATCTACGGTCGGCAACTGGTTAAATACCACCAAAAGAAAGCTCTATTTGTGTGAAAATATTATAAAAAGTTAGTTTGGGTGCAGTGTTGCATGACCGCGCAATTGTCATTCAAAGTATGAGAGCGTTGAAAGTAAAAAATTGGCCTGGGCAGGAAGGGGGTGAAAGTGCCCGGTAGGCAAGTGGTTAAGGCCCCTGTGTCAGTCGTGGTCAACTTTCTTGTTAACGTGTACCTCATGTGTGGCTCCTGACAGCAGCTAAGAGCTGCACATAATATTCACTGCATGTAACAGAAACCCATGAGAGAGTGCAGACGTGCAACTGGAGATTGTCAGAGCCTGCGGACATGCTGCAGGAGACAGACTAAGACTGAAAACATGCTATTGGAGTTGTTGGAGACTAAAGAACATGCCTGAAGTGGTAGGAAGCTCTGCATTTTGATTTTTACCTACAAGTGTAAGTTGCTCTGTTTAATTGGGCAACTCTGTAGCAACTGAGGTTTAATGTTGATAAATGTAAGGTTATGCACTTGGGGTCTAAGAATATGCATTCATCATATATACTACGGGCGGGGGGGGGGGGGGGGGGGGGGGGGGGGGGGGGGGAACTGGGGGAATCAATGGTGGAGAAGGATCTGGGAGTTCTGGTAGATCCCAAGCTTAATAATGGCATGCAATGCCAAGCTGCGGATTCTAAAGCAAACAAAATCCTCTCTTGTATTACTAGAGGTATAGACTCCAGAGAGAGAGATATCATCCCACCCATCCCTCGGTACAAATCATTAGTAAGACCTCATCTGGAATATGCATTTCAGTTTTGGGCTCCAATTCTCAAAAAGAACATTGGGGAACTGGAGAAAGTACAGAGAAGGGCAACCAAACTGATAAGAGGCATGGAGGAGCTCAGCTATGAGGAAAGATTAGATACTATAGAGCAGGGATAGGCAACCTTAAAGAGGTAGAGATCTAACTAAACAACATGGGAGAAGTCAAAGATCAACTGGCCCAGTGTGGCCTCCTGACACCGGATTTAAACCTCTAATTTCCATACTACCGTGTCACAATCATATGTATTGCACAGCAAATCAGGTGGTGAGGGGGTAACAGTGAAAGAAATAAGTATTTGATCCCCTGCTGATTTTGAATGTTTGCCCACTCACAAAGAAATGATCGGTCTAAAAATTGAATGTTCGGTGTATTGTAACACTGAGAGACAGAATAGCAACAAAAAATTCAGCAGAAATGCATGTCTAACAAATGATGACTGATCTGCATGTTCATGAGGGAAATAAGGATTTGGTCCCCTTCACAAAACATGACTTAGTACTTTGTGGCAAATCCCTTGTTGGCAATCACAGAGGTCAGACGTTTCCTGAGTTGGCCCCTAGGTTTGCACACATCTCAGGAGGGATTTTGGCCCACTCCTCTTGGCAGATCCTCTCCAAGTCATTAAGGTTTGGTGGCTGATGTTTGGCAACTCGAACTTTCAGCTCCCTCCACAGATTTTCAATTGGATTAAAGTCTGGAGACTAGCTAGGCCACTCCAGGAACTTAATGTGCTTCTTCTTGAGCAGCTCCTTTGTTGCCTTGGCCGTGTGTTTTGGGTCATTGTCATGCTGGAACACCCATTCACGACCCATTTTCAATGCCCTGGCTGAGAGAAAAAGGTTCTCACGCAAGATTTGACAGTACATTGCCCCGTCCATCATCCCTTCTGATGCGATGCAGTTGTCCTGTCCCCTTAGCAGAAAAACACCCCCAAAGCAGAATGTTTCCACCACCATATTTCACAGTTGGGATGGTGTTTTTGGGGTCATAGGCAGCATTCCTCCTCCTCCAAACAGGGCGAGTTGAGTTGATGCCAAAGAGCTCGATTTTAGTCTCATCTGACCACAACACTTTCAACCAGTCCTCCGCTGTATCATTCAGATGTTCAGTGGCAAACTTCAGATGGGCCTGGACATGTGAGCAAAGGGACCTTGTGGGCACTGCAGGATTTCAATCCTTGGCAGCATAGTGTGTTACCAATTGTTTTCTTGGTGACTGTGGTCCCAGCTGCCTGGAGATCATTGACAAGATCCTCACATGTAGTTCTGGGATGATTCCTCACTGTTCTCATGACCATTGACACTCCACGAGGTGAGATCTTGCATGGTGCACCAGACCTAGGGAGACTGACACTTGTTTTGTGTTTCTTCCATTTGTGAATGATTGCACCAACTGTTGTCACCTTCTCACCAAGCTGCTTGGCCATAGTTTGGTAGCCCAGTCCAGCCTTGTGTAGGTCTACAATCTTGTCCCTGACATCCTTGAACAGCTCTTTGGTCTTTGCCATGGTGGAGAGTTTGGAATCTGATGGTTTGATTGCTCCTGTGGACAGGTGTCTTTTATACAGGTAACAAAATGAGATTAGCAGCACTCCCTTTAAGAGACTGCTTCTAATCTCAGCTTTTTACCCGTATGAAAGACACCTGGTAGCCAGAAATCCTGCTGAATGATAGGGGATCAAATCCGTATTTCCCTCATGAACATGCAAATCAGTGCATCATTTGTTAGACATGCATTTCTTTTGAATTTGTTGTTGCTATTCTGTCTCTCAGTGTTACAATACACCGAACATTCGATTTTTAGACTGATCATTTCTTTGTGAGTGGGCAAACATTCAAAATCAGCAGGAAATCAAATATTTTTTTTCTTTCACTGTATCGCTTCCTTACCACTTTTCAAACACACCTGGACCGTTTTGCAGAGGAGCAGCACTTGCTGTACTTGTGAATGAGAATGAGCCCTTAGTTGCATCCGGCAGTGGCGCTCTTAGAGCTTGTTCACATGTAAAGTTGGGGGGGGGGGGGTGGCAAAACTCTGCAGTTGAGTCACAGTTTTAACCCCCCCTCCCCCCAATGCCTACCCCCTTTAGCTGCTGAGGCAGCAGCCAAAGTTGTACTCATACCATACCACAGCAGGAATTACACCCCCTGCTGCTTTTGGTGGGTGCTACCACCTTGTCAGTCGAGACCCATTCAAGTAAATGGGGCCACTCTGCAAGTGTCCCATAACTGCATGCTTCTGTGGGGTCCGAGGAGTTAAAGCAGGTGGTGAGAAAGCAACACACCGATGCCTGTTTAACCCCTTGTTTGCTGTACTGCACAAGGTTTCAGGGCACTTGCAGAACGGCCTCATTCACTTGAATAGGTCATGCTTGGCAGGTGCTACACCCACCAACCATGACAGGGCGTAGGAGTCGGCACTACAGAGGAGGCATGGGCTTATGCGGCTATCCCGCTCCCTACTACAGCTCCAACTTTACAAATAGTCCCTCTGCATTGCACTCTGATGCTCTGGGATGGTGGGTCAGCAAACCCTGACCGTGATCTACCAGTCATCGGGCCACAATCTACTGGTTGCTGACCCCCCACTATAGAGTTATTGATTTAGAAGTAATGATGGTATTAGATCAACCTTTCTCAGTCTTTTCACAGAAGACCCTTTGAAATAACATTCCGGTCTCAGGGAACTACTGCTAAAAATGACTATATCTACAGCTCATGATACATTAGTGTGATGGTCAGTGGGAAGAATGTTCCTTACATTTGTGGTCAATGGGAAGAATTAGCCCCTTACAGATAACTAAAAAGATCAATGGTGTCAGTGGGAACTTACCTGAGAGCCAAAGATTGCTCATAGCTCAAGAATCACCCAGCAACCTGTGGAGGAACCTTAGGGTTCCATGGAACCCTGGTTGAGAAACCCTGCTTTATAGGTTACAGGTGTTTGTGGGTCTAAACCAACACCTTGTTATTAAAGGAAGCACAAAAAAAGAGGAACAGATGCAATTATATAGATTTCCTCAATGATCATTTTGTTTCTAATATAAATCGATATTCATGTAAAAATATTTTCTGTTTCTTTAGAGGACATCAAGAGGTTCTGCCACCAGCTGTCTCTGTATCAACATTCATCACTGAGGAGAATATACGAGTATTACAGAGATGATCTGATCTACATCCTGGAGAACTTGGACACGAAAGCTCTTCTCAGAGAACTAAAGTCTCGGAATGTCTTAAACACAGATGTAAGATAATGATAGCAAAGACCTACCATGTGTTAACAAAAGCATGAAAATTTTACAGACACCTATCAAATGTAAAATTCTCATTAAATGTATAAAATCTGACTTTCTCTACGGAACACGGGGTGAAGATCTTAAAATTCCTGGTCTGACCAACTTCCAGGACATGAGGCTGACCGCCTTCTCTTCTCCACTGATTGCTTTGTAAAGCTCCAGGCAAATGGCTCATTTTATAGTTGATATACATACAGTACATTATGGCCTTATATTATAAAGTGCTGCGTAAACTGTTGGCACTATATAAATTCTTTTATAATAATTATGTTGGATCTGCGTTACCTGTCAAATGAATTATACGTTTGTCCAATAAAGTCTTGAGATTTTCACAGAACATCCAGAAAGCAGAGCCAGACTGGTGACCTGACATTTCCTTTTGCAGTTAAAGTGATTCTAAAGGCTTATTTAAAATAAATAAAAAATAACAAACATGTCTGTACTTACCTGTTGTATGTAATGGTTTTGCACAGAGCAGCCTGGATCCCCCTTTTGTAGAGTCCCCCTCTGGCGCTTTTGGCCCCTCCTTCCTGTCGGGTTCTCCCACAGCAAGCGCTTGCTATGGGGGCACCCGCTGCTCTGTGTATCCATTCACACATGGAGCCGCTGCGGCTCAGCCCCACCCCTCTTTCTTCTCATTGGCTCAGCCAATAAGGAGAGGGAGCCTCGGGAGAGTCAAGACTCCAGTGCACATCGCTGGATCGAGAGGGGGCTTAGGTGAGCTGGGGGGGGATGCTGCACATAGGTGTTTTACCTTCATGCATAGAATGCTTGAAGGTAAAAAAAAAACCTTGAGCCTAAAAAAACCACTTTAACTATTTCAGGTACTTGTATAGCGCTGTCAATTTACACAGCACTTTACATATATATTGTACATTCACATCAGCTGCCGCCCTCAAGGGGCGTACAATATAAGGTCACAAACTCATACTAGGGCCAGTTTTTCCACCAGTGGGAGGAAAATGGAGTACTCGGAGGAAACCCATGTAGCCACAGGGAGAACATACAAACTCCAAGCAGGTAGTGCCATGTTTTGGATTTGAACCATTGACCCTAGTGCTGCCAGGCAGAAGTGCTAACCACTTAGCCACTGTGATGACCACATAGACTCTTCCAGTCTACCTGTTACTTGTGTTGCTCTTACTGAGCAAGAACTGTCCTCTGCTAACAATACCTAGTGTTTTTGAATATGCCATACCCCATTGTCCTCCCCTACTTTCCAGTTCTACCAGCAACTTCAAAAAGACAACCCCTAGACTGTTCAATGAGCCGGAGTGAATGGACTGCTGCTTTGTGCTTGGCTGCCTCTGCCTCAGCCGACGAGGAGAGGGAGTCCCGGGATAATTGAGACTCCAGTGCACATCGCTGGATTGAGAGGGGGGTTCGGTGAGTATTAAGGGGCGCTGGGGGGGGGGGGGGGGGGGGGGGGCTGCACAGAGAAGGTTTTTTACCTTCATGCATAGAATGCATCTTGAGCCTTTACAACCACTTTAAGCAAACTTGTCACCACCCCACCCCCAGCCTGTGATTGGACAACGAATGAGCAGAAGCTCGCTGAAGAACTCATTCCTCTGGTCATTCTGCTCTTGCCTTTATTCAGTATGTAGCTTCTCATCATATATGCACTGTAACACACTTAAATTGGGTCTTAGGGCTGCCTCTCCTTCTTCCAGTATGGGTTCCACTGTACAAGGGTTAATACTGTATAAAGCTGATATCCAGTCAAATTCAGAAATTGACATAGCTGTCTTTAAAAGTAAATGTAAAAAAAAAAATATTTTTGAATAAACTCAAAACTACATAACACATTTTTCCTTTATATCTGACTGAAGTTCAGCTTTAAGCTTTGGTTAAGTCCAGCTTCATACACAGTTGTCATATTAGGCCCATCTGATTTTCTCTGAACTTACAGTAAGTAGGGTCAATTTTTGTTGCTTTGTCTAAATCTGTGCTATTTTCACTGATAAAACTTCAATTTTTTTTCCTTCCTGCAATTTGAGAATATTTGAAAAAATATATTTTTCTGCAATTCTTTGCCCAATATATCTACAAGGAGAATATGTCTATGTCTTAGAAATACAGGTCAGTACAAGAAGGACTGGGGGTTTCTGCCTTCGCTCACACCTTGTTACAAGATATTCAGGATCGGGGAAGAGAAGCTGTGATTGGACTCTGGGAATGTCTCTATGCACTACAGGAAGATCGTCCTCCTCCTATTTTATTGGCCGTTCTGCAAGAAATCAGCCTGACAGGTAACACTGCTTTAATCTGCATTTAATTTTGCTTTTTGTTTAAGTCCATACACAGGAGGAAGTGGAGAGCGGATTTGCCTGGCAGGCTATGTAAGCCTACAAGTAACAGTAACCAGCAAACCTGTAATATGCCACCCCTGGCAGCCATGACACCTTAAGTCATGGCCTATTGGCTGTGTGAGTAATCCGGCCCTGGATACTGATTTTAGCAGTGGTTGTCAACTCTCAAGGTAAAGGGAGCCTTAAATGCAGACCTCAATATCTCTAAGGGTGCAGCATATAGTTAATGCTACAGAAAACTGTCACAGATGGAAGACTTGATGGAGGAAATGGTCAGAGATTGTTCTACAGAAGTCATGCTATAGGAGACAGTCAGAGACTAGGGACATGTGGCATGATACCACTAGACTTTACTACTATTAAGGGCCCTTTTACAAATCATTGCTCCCTCTACTGACTGCTGGGGTCCAAGGGCCACACTTCAAATATCAAAGGGCTGCATGAGTTCATACATGGACAAGGTTTTTTAGTGATTCGCACTATTATTAGTGCACTCGATCGCACTAGACGCCCATTGAAAAGATAAGTTGCCTGTGGGAAGTTGTTTATCATCTTTGTGAAGGCAGATGTCAAGTGTGATCAATTTGAGTATTTACCTCAAAATGACTAAATAATCCCAAACTGGTACATTACTGCAAGTTAGGCACGGGGGTGGGGGGGGTTTGGGAAATGAATACAGTAACAAAAACTTTTTTTTTTTTTTTTTTTTCAGGTAATTTTTAGTAAACAATTTTTTATTTAACGAAAAACTATACAGAAAAATATTTCCACAGCAGAAGTAGAAATATTACTGAGACATCCAAAAAAGTACAGATAAAGCATACTATCTTTAGATCACGCCATAACAGATTTAAGGAACCTTGAGTTAAAGTAGTCTTCTCACAGAGGTTAGGTTGTCCAAGAGTCCATTAAAGAATTAACCACTTATATAATGTATCTCATTTAAACTAAAAGATGGTCATCCTCTCCAACCATTGGCAGAGCATTCACCTAACTCCCTACTTCAGGTCCCAAGGACAATGTGGAATGGGTTGATAGATTGGAATCTAGCTATTGGGCTCATGTTTTCTGAAATGTTTTGGGGCAGCCCCTTTTGTTTATATGTCAGCTCCTCCCTCCGTAGGTTGAAATGAATCACATCTATCCACTGTTTGTGCATTGTTGCTGTTGATAAGATCCATTTCTGTAATATGAATTTGCAAGCTCAATATAAAGATCTCGTCCATATTATGTGGACATCAGATGGGAGACTTTCATCTGGGACAGCTCCTAATAATGCCACTTTTGGGTCAAGCAATACAGGTGTAGAGCAAAGTGTATTAAGGGTGGTTGAAATGGACTCCCAAGAGCGAGGGTACTCGTAGCCGTAGCTGTGTATGAGGATAGCCGTAGCTCATCAGGGACAATGCGGGGAGTCCGCTCTCCCCCAAGATTGTAATTTCTGCAGAGTATAGTGTACTCTGTGGATGATGAACTTGGTTGCTACTTTGTCCTTCCTTTCTCCAGCCACATTCACCTTCTCCTATGTGCCACTAGTCATGCCAAGTCCCACTCTAACTAATCTTCCAGTGTTGCATTATCATCTCATGCTCAACCTCCTAAGCTGCAGCCAAATTCTAAACCACTTTGTCACTTTTATTCCAGTCCGGATGACTTTATGGTAGCCAGCGGGTAAAAACCCTGAATGAGAACTGTAACGGAATCGACCCCATCTGTGCTTGGGTCCATCCGTTATAATACTGCTTCCCCGTCCGAACACCGATCACAGACACCACAGATTTGAAGCAAACCAAGAAATAGACTACTTTATTTTAACACAGATACAAGATATATACAGTGAGGAACAGAAGTATTTGAACACCCTGCGATTTTGCAAGTTCTCCCACTTAGAAATCATGGAGGGGTCTGAAATTCACATTGTAGGTGCATTCCCACTCTGAGAGACAGAATTAAAAAAAAAAATCAGGAAATCACATTGTATGATTTTTAAAGAATGTATTTGTCTTGCACTGCTGAAAGTAAGTATTTGAACACCTAAGAAACAGCAAGAATTCTGGCTCTCAAAGACCTGTTACTGTGCCTTTAAAAAGTCCACCTCTACTCCACTCATTAATCTAACTTAGTAGCACCTGTCTGAGCTCTTTAAAGACACCTGTCCACCCCACAGTCAGTCAGACGCCAACTACTACCATGGGCAAGACCAAAGAGCTGTCAAAAGACACCAGAGACAAACTTGTGGACCTCCACAAGGCTGGAAAGGGCTACGGGGCAATTGCCAAACAGCTTGGTGAAAATGGATCAACTGCTGGAGCAATTGTTAGAAAATGGAAGAGGCTAAAGACGACTGTCAGTCTCCCTCGGACTGGGGCTCCATGCAAGATCTCACCTCGTGGGGTATCACTGATGATCAGAAAAGTGAGAAATCAGCCCAGAACTACAAGGGAGGTGCTGGTCAATGACATGAAGAGAGCTGGGACCACAGTTTCAAAGGTCAGTGTCGGTAGAACACTATGCTGTCATGGTTTCAAATCATGCATTGCACGGAAGGTTCCCCTGTCATCACATGTCCAGGCCCGTCTGAAGTTTGCCAATGTCCATCTGGATGATCCAGAGGAGGCATGTGAGAAAGTCATGTGGTCAGATGAGACCAAAGTAGAACTTTTTGGTCTAAACTTCACTCGTCGTGTTTGGAGGAAAAAGAAGATGAGTTGCATCCCAAGAACACCATCCCTACTGTGAAGCATGGGGGTGGTAACATCATGCTTTGGGGGTGCTTTTCTGCGAAGGGGACAGGGCGACTGCACTGTATTAAGGAGAGGATGAATGGGGCCATTTATTGTGAGATTTTGAGCAACAACCTCCTTCCCTCAGTCAGAGCATTGAAGATGGGTCATGGCTGGGTCTTCCAACATGACAACGACCCAAAGCACACAGCCAGGATAACCAAGGATTGGCTCTGTAAGAAGCATATCAAGGTTCTGGAGTGGCTAGCCAGTCTCCAGACCTAAATCCAATAGAACATCTTTGGAGGGAGCTGAAACTCCGTGTTGCTCAGCGACAGCCCCGAAACCTGACAGATCTAGAGAAGATCTGTGTGGAGGAGTGGGCCAAAATCCCTGTTGCAGTGCAAACCTGGTCAAGAACTACAGGAAACGTTTGACCTCTGTAATTGCAAACAAAGGCTTCTGTACCAAATATTAAAACTGATTTTCTCAGGTGTTCAAATACTTATGTTTAGCAGTGCAAGACAAATACATTCTTTAAATATCATACAATGTGATTTGCTGAATTTGTTTTTTAATTCTGTCTCTCAGAGTGGGAATGCACCTACAATGTGAATTTCAGACCCCTCCATGATTTCTAAGTGGGAGAACTTGTAAAATTGCAGGGTGTTCAAATACTTCTGTTCCTCACTGTACATTCAAGGGAACAACCCCCCTCCCTGCATAATGACATAGGGCGGGACAATCTACCTTTAGTAACAAGAGACACACCAACAGACAGTCCCATCAGGAGGGAGGGCTGCTGGAAACACCCCCCACCAAGCCAATACATAAACACATACATCCCATAATAGTTTGCTCCCAAGCCAGACACACAATAGAACAATGAGATGCAACCACATGGCATTAAACAATCAACAACCCCCACCAAATATTAGGACAGATCACCTTGTACCGCTAACAGGCACAGGGTGACTTACAAATAATAGGGATATGGGAAGCTGAGACAGGGGTCTCCCCACCTCTCCAAATTGAGTTGTGTTCCATGGGCCCCCCACCCAAAGTGACTCTTGTCACAAGAACACTAGCTGAAATGATTCTATTTGTGAGCTCTATTTAGGAGAAAAATTAAATCCAGCACCACTAATCCATTCTCCTCTAGATGAATATAAATAATCATAATTATTTACTTTTTTAAGGTGAGCATCTGGTGGAGCAGATTCTGCTGGATGAACACGGTTGTTCACTGACTCCGGAGCTGAAAGGTAAATAGAGCATATATTGTGTTTTCAATTAAAAATATGATTAATTTTGTTGAAATATGTTCAAACGTTGTTAAAATGTTTTCACTTAGAGTATGTAATCCCAACATTTCATATTCCTGATATGTGCCTGCTGTACTATTCTCACGTACCTAGTCTGAGGCTGATTTGATGAGAGGGCTTCCCTTACAGCTAAGTGCCAGGTACCCCTGAAGGTGAGAAAAGGGAATGCTAGGTTCAAAGAAGCACGTTTACCGTTTAGGTAGATCTGCTGGAAGCTGTTTGCAGTAAAGTCAACCGGATAGCTGCCAGCTTTTCTGTCAAGACAGATGGCAGGACCTCAGTTACCACTGGTGAGGTAGTGGGACCAGGGCAGCAACCACAGGCAAGGTGGCACCCAAGGAAGAAGCAGAATCAGGCTGGCAGGAATGGACTGAAACAGCATAGTCAGGATGGTAGCTGAACTCATACACTGAAAAGCAAGCCAGGGAGTAGGCAGGAATGTGGTCAAGAACAGAGATGAGGTCATTCACAGGGATCCAGTGGAGCAAGCAGAAAAGTAGTCAAGAGCAAGCCAGAGTCATGCATGGCAGAACGAGAGAAGCAGAGCCCTTAGAGCAAGCCAGGGTCAAAACCAGGGATCAGGCAGCAGGAAAGTCTATAGACAAGCGGAGTTGGTAACTGGTAACCAAGGAATACAGGAAACACAGGAGCAAGGAATAGTGGTAGCCAAAGAGCATCCAGCAAAGTCTGAGTACAGCCACTGTCCCTTATATAGGGCATTTGGTGCCAATTCTCGAAGCAGGTGTGCGTGAACATACGCAAGTGCGAATGTTCTTGCTGACTCAAATGTTTGTGCCATGTAAAGCATTGGTGACTATGCCAGGTCTTTTCCTTTTTTATTCTGCGTCTCCTTTTCAGCACATGCTTATGTTTGTTCCAAATAGCACCCTGACAACCATGTACCTGTATGAAGTCTCCTGTTCTCTTTGTATTGCTTCCTTTCTAGGCATGAGAGCACAGCGCAGTCAGTTCTCTATTCTCTAACTATGGGAACTCGTGCTTGCTCTCCTCCAATCAGACTTGTCCTTACACCCCCCCACTCCCCCCCGCACAGCACAGCCATTCACTGAAAAAGTCAGTGTGCTGTTGTTTCTACACCTCCACCTCTCTGTTAGCTGCATAAGGAGCTTAGAGGGAATGTGATCATTTTCTAAACAAGGAAAATAGTTTTTCTTTTATCTACACGCAAATGTTTTATCTTTCATTTCTTTTTTTGAACTGAATAGGTTGTTTTACAACGTAAGAACTTGCATATACTGTACTTTCATTGGGGCTTTTCTTTCACTGAGGAATTTTTAATTCAAGTCATAAAATGTATACATGACAAAATGGGTGTGACTGCTGCTGATATTCCATGGCAAAGGGTAGGTCCACATTTTTGCTAGCTCTCTTTTCTTCCAAAACAAATGGCTTTTAAAAAATGATGCTGCTGCTTTTGTGGCCAATCCTTGGGTCTGTTGAATATCAGTTGCAAGAGGGGAGGATAGTTGAGTTCATATACAGTACATGGGCAAGGTTTTTTAGTGATCTGCACTATTATTAGTGTGCTCAGTCACCCTAGACTCCCATTGAAAAGAGATGTTGCTCGTGGGCAGTTGTTTACCAGCCTTGGGAAGGCAGATGTCAAGCATGAACAATTTAGGAGTATTTTTTTTTTTTCTAATTCAAATATTTATTGATTTTTCATATTTATAAATACATATAAAAAAGAGAGAAAGAAAAGAAGAACATAACATTTCTTCAACAATCTCATATATCATATAAAATTCTTATCTCCTTCTTTTTCCCCCCTTTTGTTTCCCTTCCCTCTACCCCTATTCCCTCCCTCTCTTCCCGCCCCCCTTTCACTCTGCCTTTCTCTCTTAAGTCCTTTCCTAAAAATTCAAAAAGAAACTTCACTTATCACATCCCACTGCTTCACATATGTTCATTTTATCTACAAAATCTTCCCATTGCCTCCATCTCCTATTATAAATCTCCATCTTGTCTTCTTGGATATAATACAGTTTCTCCATTTTACTAATCTGATTTACTCTCTCAACCCAATCTCTTTCTGTCGGCACCTCTAAATTATGCCAGAATTTAGGTATTAATCCCTTTGCAGCATTCACATAGTACCATATACCCAAGTCTTTGTATTTACTCACTGGTATCTCTGTACTGTGTAATAGGCACACTTCTGGATCTAGTCCTATCTTTATCCCTGAGATTTTCCTTATTAAGTTGACCATTGTCTCCCAGTACCTTTGGATCTTTGGACACTCCCACCATATGTGAAACCACGTACCAATCCCTCCACACCCCCGCCAGCACTCTTGTGTTTTTTCTACATCTATTTTATGTTCAACACGCGGTGTAAATGTGCCATTTTACTAAAGATTTATAATTCACCTCCACTTCTCTCATACTGACATTTTCATGTGTAAGTCTATATATTTTCCTCTGTTTATCCTCATCTATTTCTATCCCCAAATCTTTTTCCCATTTATCTATATAACTTGGTTTTACTTCCGTGCCTAACTCAGTGAGAATCTTATAAATTTTTGCCGTACCCCGTTTCCCATCTCCCCGTGATTCCAACAACCTCTCAAACATATTCCACTCCTTTTTTCCTCTCATAGGTTTTGGGAGCCCTTCTACAAAGTGTTTTAATTGGTGATATTTCCACTCATCAATCTTAATAAAAAGTTCCCCTCCACCTTTCTTTAAATCCTTCAGTGTTTTCAATTTCTGTCCATCCATAATATCCCTCAGTTGTATATCTTCCTTTTTAAAACCATTTTCCCACACTCCCTTCTATACCTGGTGGAAAATACTCCATATTCCTTAATGACAATAATTGTGAATTGAAATCCCATTTCATATATTTATGTAAATTATCCCAAACCTTTAAAACAATCAGTGTATATACACTTGTGGTGTCTCTTAAACCTCTATATTGTGTAGGTGCCCATATACTTCTACTCAAATCCACTCCACTCAATTCTTCCTCTATCTTAACCCATCTTTTCCCCTCTACATTGTGAGTCCAATCATAAATTCTTGTTAGAACTACTGCATTATAATATCTCTTGAGGTCTGGCACTCCCAATCCCCCTCTCTCTTTACCCCTAGTCATCAGGTCATACGATATTCTGGATTTTTTATTTTTCCATATAAATCTTGTTATCTTTTTAATTACTTTAAAAAAGGCCTCTGGGAGTCTAATTGGGATCATCTGAAATTTATACAGGACTTTGGGTACAATTATCATTTTTATCAGATTTATATACTTCCTAACCAAGAGGGATTTCCTCCTCCCAATTTCTTCAGTTCTTCTTTGATCTCATTTAGAAGAGGAATATAGTTTAATTTATATAGTTTTGTATATGAAGCAGTAAGTTTAATCCCTAAATATTTTATCTCTTTATTTCTCCATATAAAAGGGAATTCTTTTTGTATCTTATCTTTCTCACTATTCGGAAGGTTTACATTTAAGATCTCAGTATTTGTTGGGTTGATTTTTAGATTTGATAATTTCCGTATTCCTTTAGGCTTTTTATTAAGTTCGGTAATGTCATCCTAGGATTTCCCACATAAAACAACAAGTCGTCTGCAAAGGCTGCCACTTTATGTTCAGTTTCCCCTATCTGTATTCCCTTTATATCTACGTTCTTCCTAATTGTTTCCAGCAAGGGTTCCAATGATAACACATATAACAGTGGGGACAATGGACATCCCTGTCTTGTCCCATTTGACATCTCTATGGGGTCAGATTTTTCACCATTAACCAAGATAACCGCAGAGGGTGCTCTATATAGCTTTCCTATCCACTCCCTCATTCTACCACCTACTCCCATGATCTCTAGGGTATCCATCATGAAGCTCCAGTTTACTCTATCGAAGGCCTTTTCAGCATCAATCGAGAGCACCACTACTGGGGTTTTCCCCTTCTTAGATTTCTGTATCAAAAGCATAGTTCTCATTCCGTTATCTCTACCATCTCTCCCCGATACAAAGCCCACTTGATCTCCGTGGATCCATTCTGGCATTAAATCTTTCATTCTATTTGCTAGGACTTTTGCATATAGCTTCGTATCTATATTTAGCAGTGCAATTGGTCTATAGCTGGAACATTGAGTAGCATCCTTCCCTTCCTTATGTATAAGTGTTACATGGGCTTGTAGGGATTCCTGTCTAATCTCCATTTCTCTACCCAAGGCGTTCATATATTCTTTCAATTTAGGTATTAGCAAATCACTATATTTTTTATAATATCTCACGGTATATCCGTCTGGACCAGGACTTTCCCTGCCTTAGTATTTTTTAATGCTATTTTTATTTCCTCCTGCGTGATTTCTACTTCCAGGGATTTCAATAGGTCTTCATCTACCCTTGGTAGTCCTGCGTTTTTTAAGTATAATCTTCTCTTATCTCTACTCTCATTTTCACCTTCATTCACACCATCTTGGGGGTTAATATTATACAACTTACTATAATATTCCTTGAACACCTTTACGATCTCTTTAGTAGAGTGGGCCATTTCTCCCTTGGGGTTTCTTATTTTTTCTATATAATTTCTATTTGTCTTTTTCCTTAGGGCTTTCATTAAATATTTTCCTGGTCGGTCTCCCCATCTATATCTCTCTCCTGCTACTTTATTACGTACTCTCCTCCTCTCTTCTTCCATTAATAACTCCAGTTCTTTCTTCTTTTTTATTACCTTCTGTCTTATTTCACTTGTTGTTCTATTTTTATGGATCTGTTCCAGGTCATATATTTCTTTTAAGAGCCCCGTTAGTTTCTTACTCCTTTCCCTTTTCTTTTTTGCCCCTAACGCAATCAGTATACCTCTGATATATGCCTTGTGGGACTCCCAAACTGTGGCTATTGACACATCCTCTGTTTCGTTCTCCTGAAAAAATCTTTCCATCTCTTTTCTGATCTTCTGATCAATCTCT